AAACACAACTGAAAAGGGAGGGAGGGCTTCACTTCTGCGGCTCTCTGTCTGTGACTGTGATGTGGTGTGATGTGATGATCAATGTGCTACACTGATGTGCTGCGGAGACGCAGAGGGGAGAAAGAGTCTCAACATTTCCCGACCCGACCTGATATTTTTTATTTTTTATTTGTTTGACAGAGAAAGCTGTGCGCAAACAGAAACACACACACACATATATATACAGATATTAATTGATATATATATATATAAAAATAAAAAAAAGCTCCCCAGAAAAAAGGGCACTTTCTCTGGAGGAAGAAAAAGGGCAGGTGCTCAAGACCCCTTTGATGTCTACAGTATGTGTGCACGCCACTGGATGTGCCTGTTAATATGTACAGTCATGGCCAAAAGTTTTGGCAGTGACATAAATTTTGTGTTTTGCAAAGTTTGCTGCTTAAGCTGTTGTGATGTTCATTCACATTGTTTCTAGATTATTGTGTAGAGTGATCAGATGCATTTTAAATAATTGCTAAAAGCTTCATTGGCTAAAAAAATGGCTTTGGCTTTTCACAAAAAACAACTTTCACTGTTTTTTGATCCTGACACAAAATGACCAGCTAACATTAATTGACTGATCATATCAGCAGCATATGTGAAAGTGTGAATGAGTACAAGTCAGGTGAAATCACTATCATACTAATTAGATTGTAAGAGCAGGGAAGAAGCACTTCCATTCATTGTGTTCTTGTTAGCAATGGTTACCTCCAAAGAAACACGTGCAGCCATCATCCCTTTGCATCAAAATGGCCTCACATGCAAGGAAATTGCTACAAAGAATATTGCACCTGAAAGAACCATTTACCGGACCATCATGAACCTCAAGGAGAAAGGTTCGACTGCAGTGAAGAAGTCTTCAGGGCGTCCCAGAGTGTCCACCTTCCGACTGTAGACATCTGGAAAATTGATTGTTCAGAGAAGAAAAGGTGAAAGCTACCATGAGTCCTGTGACGTGCCAACAGTGAAGCATCCTGAGACCCTCCATGTGTGGGGTTGCTTTTCAACCAAGGGAGTCTTAATTCTGCCCAAAAACACAGCCATGAAAAAAAAATGGTATCAAAACGTCCTGCAAGAGCGACTTCTTCCAACGATCCATGAGCAATCTGGTGATGATCCGTGAATTTTTTCTAGCATGATGGAGCACCATGTCACAAAGCAAGAGTGATAAAGAAGTGGCTCGAAGATCATTACATTGTGAAATGTTAGATCTGTGGCCAGGCAACTCCCTGGATCTCAATCCCATAAAGAACCTGTGGTCAGTCCTCAAAAGGCCAGTGGACAAGCAGAAGCCCACAAATTGTGATCAACTCCGAGAACTAATAAGGCAAGAATGGATCGCCATCAGTCAGGATTTGGCCTATGATATGCTTATCATTGTTTTTCAGTATACCATAGAAACATGTGGAAAAATAATCTACAAATACTGAAGCAGCAAACTTTTTGTCCCCGTTATTGACAACACAATTTGTCACTGCCAAAACATTTGGCCATGACTGGATGTATGTCAAACGGATATATGTCAACATAGGCCTATGCCTATTCAAAATATTACAGTTTTATTTGTAACTTTTCTGCTATTCGCACCATCAGAAAAATCCTCGATAGGCTCCAAATGCTCTTAAATGTCAGCTCACTCATCGGTTCTCTGCTCATTGTGATTCGGACATGTTCGTTTTCCGGTTAATTGAGTCATAGAGTTATTCACTCCTCGTGACCGAATCGTTCAGTCCAGTGCGGTGAGCGAACCGATTAGTGAACCGGTTCGAATGATTCATGAAGAAGATCCGATTCTGACAGAACGATTCGCTCATGGAAGTCATCGCTAGTAGACACGGTGTAAGCGCAGGAGAGGGAGGGGGGCGGATTTCAGGAGCTCTCCACCACAAACGTGTCCGTACACCACAGGAATGAAGCAAATCAAACGGACGCCCAGCACACAGTTATTTCGCATAACTTTATGGTTTATTTTCTAAATCCGCGTCTTTTTGTTTCTCATAGACTTAACAGGGAAAGTTTTATATCTGAGGAATACCTGCCAACGAACGGAACGCACCATCCGCAAACCGTCACACCTTCGCCTCAGTTAAGGAGATCGGATCTGCTTTTCGGACTGCATTTTCTTGTTTCTTTCTTTTTTTGGGGGTGAGGGACAAGTCCCTTGAAGTACGTATAATTTTCTTTTACAGAATGAGTGTGGATCTCTAGTTCTGTGTCCCGGTTTTTTCAGTAGGTTTGTGCGGATCATCTTGTGAAGTAGTTTTAGTTCCCGTAGACTGTTGTGTTGTCTCCCTTTTCTCTTTCTTGGATGCTGGAATTTAAGACTGACAGTCCCGTTCTCTCCTCATGCCCATGAAATCAACTCTCGGATGGTAAGGATTCCAGAGAATGGTAAATGATCGATGGAAAATCATGAACAGTGTTTCAGAACTCGAGGATGGTCAGCAGCATAAATCGCAGGTATGTTGCACGCGCATCATGTAGGGATTTATTAAACCTGTGTCGATGCATTCGTGATGCTCAGGCAGGTCAAAAACTATAAATATGACCATATGCAGGTCTCATTGCGTTTATGTAGGCTGCAAACAAATTCCATGAGATATTACTCAGAGCTGAACATTTTGGAACACATGCCTCTATTGACAAATCTCGAACACGTCTTGCGTTCAACCCTTGTTTAAACAAATATTTGACTCAATTATAGTAAGAAATTGTATTATTTATCATCTTGACTGTTCTGTGTCTTATAACTAATTGCTTTGGATTTAAGGGAAGAGAGTCCTTTAATAATAATATAATAATAATTATAATAATTATTATTATTATATTTAAATATTGATATACAAAGAGAAAAATGGTCAGCATTGCATACTCTTTGTCAGAACAAGTACAATTTGAGTGACAACAAATACAATTTACAAAATTGGTGAATTTAAAGAAGCATTTGCTACACACGATATTTACTATGAATCACTCAATATTATTTGAAAGCAGAAAATCCTTTGGTAAATTTTGCAACTGACAGCCATCCAAGCGGATACCGATAATCTGACAGTACCAAAATATTGACAGATTAATCTTCTTAAAATAAGTTTATTGTTAGAAAGAATAAGCCCCTTTAGTTCTCAAGCGTTCAGAGTGATATGGTACCACTGTCAGATGATACCTCTCTCCATGCCCTCTGCACACGAGGGAATACATTTGTTTCTATTATGCAGCTCACACAGAACTAAGGGATTAAGCTCAGCTCCTCCATGTATGAGCGACTGCATGTCTGCCAGAAAATTTCACTCAGGAATGCTGGAAGTTCATGCATTCACTGCAGAGAGAGCACATCACAGATCTGACGGTGGAGCTCAGCGTGCTGAAGGGTGTTGCATCTTTGCTTTCTTTATCTCTCACTGTCTATTTCAAAGCTTGTTTGAAAACAAATCTATATCTCGCCACTGCCTGCATTTCACAGCCACTGTAATCTGCTGCGAGCATTTATGGGGGAATGTACATAACATGCTGTTTATAGCAATCCTGATTATAGAGGTTTAAGGATGGGATCACGGCCGTAACAGCTTTTTATTGCTGCTATCATCCTCACGTGGCATCCTCTAACCTTCTCTCAGTGGGGGTGTGAAGTGTGCATAATACAATGCCCTTTCAGGAATATGTCAAGCCCTGCTTTTGAAGCGTCAACTTCAACACAAGCTGCTTGTTCTAATGGCACTTCTTTATTTGCCCGTCTTGTGTAACCGAGTCATTTTAACACGCAGCACAACTGAAGTGCCGTGCCAGTTTATCAAACTGCCTGGGCTTGTTTGCTTTGTGCTGCATAAGTTATTTTAGGGGTTGTTAATTAATCAACGTGAATTCGTCTACCATCCATTTCTGACATGTTTATTAATACAATATTCACTTGGGAGAGAGGAGGGGTGGGATCTCATGGGACGAATAAAACCGTTCACCTGCTGTGCTGGAGTGTTCAGACTTTGATGGACACGATTTGTAATTCCTCGTGCTGCTCTTTGTGTCTTGATTTTTATAGTTGAGTATAATAGGTGAAGCCTCTGGTATGTTGTGCAGTGGTTAAAAATAGGCTTAAGGGTCCTGTGAGACAGGCGTACAGGTAAAAGAAGGATTTGCATTTTTTCACTTTCCTTCAGCAATGTGGTGTGTGTGTGTTATATAATGAAGGAGTCACAGTAAGCTAAGTTGCAGGCAGTAACATTATTGTATGGTATGGTCAGATGGACTCATTAGCTCCTTGTTCCTGGAGATTTTTCATTGTCGGCCCACCCGTGCTATTCTTTAAGGTCTACTCCTGCAGACACACACACGATCACACTCTGGAACAAAACAGCTGCAGTGATTTTTAAAACTCTCTTTCTGTCGTTATTTACCAACCTTCATGTCTTTCCAAAATCGTATGATATTCTTTTTTTTTTTTTGGTGGAACACAAAAAGAGATGGTTGGAAGCCATTTTGTGTACAATTAAAGTGAATGTCACCAAAAGGACCTTAAAAAGAGCCCACACATATCATGCACTACAATCTACAGGGCTGTTCACACCAATAATGATGACTATATGTTTTAATAAACATTCTAATTCTATGAGAATAGGTTCACTCTTGAAAGTAAAGGTTCTTTATTGTCATCTGTGGTTCTATGAAGAACCTTTGAAGAACATTTCCATTGTACAAGTGGAAAAATGTTCTTCAGATGGTTATGTGTTCTTTGTGCTTTGAAAATAATGGTTCTTTGGAAAACCCAAAATGGTTCTTCACTGTGAAAACCACCTTTTGGAACCTTTATCTTTTAGAGTGTATGTCCATACCACAGCTATAATGATAATGAAAGAGACGAACGATATTGTTGATTGTCCAGCTGATAAAAATGTTGACAATCAGGCAATAAGAATGCAGCTGAATTTAAAGCGGTCGAGCATTTAAAGTGGCAGACGACATCACTGCATTTGTGCTTATAATAACTAAACGTAATTGTTCATTGGTGTGGACACCAATATATTATCATTTTTTGGTGTGAACGAGCCTCAAGTCTTGAATCTCAAATCTGATTCACTCATTCAAAGGTTTGCGAAAAGACTTTGGTTTTTCTGTGTCTTTTACCTTATTTGTGACATGCCCAATTTGGATGTTCTCATATTCACATTACACAAATGAGAGCAGATTATAGAGAATTGATCATATGGCTTCTGACTTGGAATGTAGTGCACGGTATGTATGGACTGCTGTTTTTATGATGCTTCATGAATTTTTATGTTGCCGTCTTGTCATTTCTGGAGCTTGACAGCCCCTGGTCACCATTGACTGTCATTGTATGAGAGAGAATAGCATGAATATGCTGCCAAACATGTCTTTTCCTTCTCATTCGGGTTTGGAATGTCTTGAAGGTGAGTAAAGAATGACAGAATATCCGTTCTTGAGTGAACAGTCTGTTTCTTTAAGCTGCTACTTTATTTTTAACCCTGGAAACTGCAGGCTAAAACATCTGACTGGTTCTTCAGAGCAGGTAATTGATTTGCTTGTCGGCTTTTTGACTTACAGGCATTTTACTATAAAGTGCTGGAGGGATTGAGGATTTTGAAAGCTGTAAGAAACATTTGCCATCATGTAGAGCCGAAAAAATTAGCAGTGGCCATTACAACTTGCAGACTTCATCTCAGCACAGGATGATAGCAGCAACCTGAAGTTAAATAGAGATTTATCAATTCATTTTCCTCTCAAATGTGTCAAGCTGCTTAAGTTGTAGTAGCTATTAGGATTTGCAAATTGAACAGACTTGCTGACAGCCTGGGTAGCTTTTCATCAGGATGAAGTGTAGATGTGGAGGAACCCCAGATACATTATCTCTAGAGTTCATTTTTGGAGAATCTGCGAAGTCGTGCCCAGCCGTTGTCTGCTTTCTGTCCAGCAATTCCCCATCGGCGCGCACAGCAATTCAGTGCAGCCAAACAAAGACAATGTGAGAGATGTTTACCAATCGTGTGCTGGACACAATGGGGATGGAAAGTCCAAACATGTGGGCCGAAATTCATTTCTTCGGGATGCTTGTCAAACACGGCGCTGCCAATTAAACACTCCTCCAAAAACCTGGAAGCCTGCTGTTCTGTAATGAAAGCTGTAACCGCATGACTGAACATATGTGTGTGTACGGGATAAAACACTGGATACCTAGCGTGTCCCCTAGATTAATACGTATGCTGCGATGACTCTTAAACACTTCCCGTTTCATTATGTCGTGATGCTCATGTGCTTTTTCAGCCGTATTAATGACAAAACCCTGCTTATTCTCTTCTCAAAGCCGTTTATTTCCTCTCACAATAGTACTTATGCTATTTTATGTTTGATCCAGGAAAAAAATGGGTTTAAATCAATCAGCTGTGACTCGAATTAAAAAATTATCCTTTAAAACCCCTTCACTTTCCATAGTTGTGGTGTTTCAGTGTTTATTGTGGCTGGAAATGCTATCAGAATTTCAACCCTATCCTTTCAACCATACCTTATTTCTCGTCAATCCCTCCTGTATGCATAATAAAGTCTTCTGGCCTTGGTTGTAGCACATTGACAGTGGATGGATGTGAAAGCTATAAAGTCCCTTCAGATATATGGTTTTCCCTTCTCTGCTGTTATCTGTGCTGGATATCCATCACAGGATTGTGGGGCTATTTGGGGGCGTATGAATCCTGATATATGGAGTCCCACGGGCGAGGGTCTCGATTTAAGACTAGTTGTATAATTATAGGCCATCAATGGCTCTCCTAGATGGCGTCTGTATATCAAACTGTCATGGATCGTTTTTTCAGTGTGATGGAGCGAATGTTATTTGGTTTAACCTCTGACATTGTTCAGATGATCTCCGACGTGTCTCTTCCCTCTCACCTTCAACAATAAGGAATGATTTTTAAGATGAGGTATGGGTGTAAACAATCTAATTGGCTTTGGGTCAGATCTGTTGACATTTTGCAAATGCCACTTTTATTTAATTCAAGACTATAGACACACCTTTTGGTATTTATCTTGTGTTTGACATTTCTTCTTCGCTTTTGAGATTAAACCCATTTTTAGTCAACCTGAATGAAACAGGAGACGTTGTGCTCAAATAGCTTAAAATATGTGGACACTGTCAACTAATTTAAATTCATTAAACAGTTGCACTGCTTTTCGCACACTGTATATTTAAATGCAAAAACATGCATCTTGTTAAATTTCTCAATGGAAAAGTGCAGCATGCAAATTGTGTTCAGCACTTGCAAGGGAGAGCAGGACAAGATTTTTTTACAATTTCAAAGTGCCACTTTCTTTCTGCAGCACAATGTAACTCTCACCAGAGCAATGGACATAGTCAGTGATGTTGCTTGACCAGTTGTGTTCAAGAGTCAGCGGTTTTCACAGCTTTTATTTTTGGTGGGTTGTGCTATTTTTATTGACACAGGCAGTAGAGAGGCGACAGGGAATTAGTGGGAATGGGAACAGGAGGCAGACCTGGATCTCCCACGAGGACCACAGCTCAACTTGTCTATAGATCATGTGTGTGTGCTGCAAGGCATGGCATTTTTATGTAACATTATTTATATGAAGAGTTCAGATGCAAAAGCCTCTAAGTGCCGTCTGAAATTGTCATCTAAAATGAGCATTTTTATAAGGCTTCTATGTGTAGGTTCTGTATTTTTACTATAATGGCAATATAAAGATGCTTTTATATTCAATTAAAGTGAAGTAATTGAACATAAATATAGGAGCCTGATAAAAATGCTCATTTTAGAAGGAAATTTCAGATGGCACGTAGAGGCTTTTGCATCTGAACTCTTCATATATTATTTATGACCAAAAAAATTTATTTATTTATTTAGGTATAGCATATAGCACATAACACCATCACTATGGTCCATAATATTTGACTTTTTTTAATATGTATATATATATATATATATATATATATATATATATATATATATATATATATTTGTGTT